ATGGATATGGTCCTGATAAAGAATTAGCCGCAAGGACTTATGGTGTTGCGGTGCATATTGGAGGTCATAGTCATACTCTTCTATCTAATGACACAATTTCCGAAGATTATCATTTAGCAGCGGGTCCGTACCCTACTATTGTCAAGAATGCCATAGGCGAAGATACTTTGGTTGTTCAGGTATAGACTTTTTTTTAAAAAAAAAAATTGTTTCAATGTAATAAATTCAATTAACATTATTGGGATAATTGTAAAGGCATTTTGGTCTGGCAAATATATAGGACATTTGGACGTATCATTCGATAAAGATGGAAAAGTAGTCAACTATTCAGGTGCACCAATTCTCGTAGATCAGTCAATTCCTCAAGATCCCAAAATAGCCGACCTGGTAAAACAATGGAGAGAACCATTTGATCAGTATACAAAAACAGTAATTGGTAAAGCTAGTGCACCGTTTGATCAATTATCATGTCAGAGAAGTGAATGTACAATGGGTAGCCTAGTATTAGATTCTTTCCTATGGTCTCAACGAAAAACCAGTAAAGTAAATGCTGCATTCTTAAATTCTGGTGGAATTCGAGCTGGATTGATGGAAGGAAACATTACTCGTGAGAATATTATAACTATTTTACCATTTAGTAATGCTATGGTAATTTTAGACATGAGTGGTCAAAATATTACAGATATGTTAGAAAGTGCGACAGGAAGGTGGAAAAATATAATTTCTGGAAAAAGAGTCACTAGTTTTATACAATTATCTGGTATTAGGTTTAAGTATGATAGTAGTAAACCTGTATTTAATCGAGTATTGGAAGTGAACATACAGAATAGTGATACCGAAATATTTGAGCCGTTAGATCTTAAAAAAATTTATAAAATTGTTACTGTCGATTTTATTGCCAATACCGGTGACGGGTAATGTCTATAATTTTCATATTATTATCATTATTATTATTATTATTGTTATTAGTCTTTGGTATGCAATATATTTTTTCCTTACTTTTATCATTGTATAATAATATATAGGTTAATTCCATATCCTATTCAAGATTTGGTTCCTTTTGACAACCTAGACGTAGCATTAACAAATTATATTCAAGATCAAAAAGTTGTTAGTCCATATTTAGACGGTCGTATTCAAGATATTTCCCCTATCACCGTTTACAGTACTTTATCCCCTCATGAACCTATCCATTTTGGTTATGACAAATTAAGTGATAGTGTGGAAATCAAGGTGAAAGGTAACATAAAATCAGATAAACAAATTATAATTAAAATTGATGGTTGATGGGTGATGGTTGATGGAGTTTTTTACCAAAAATTTTACCTTGTAGTTGCGTATTGATGTATTGAATTATCAAAGTTTACATATCGACATAGAAATGGTCATTAATGCCTAGTCGCGTCTGCTTTTGAATTTTTTTTTTGTTTAATTAATTTCCACTATTGAAGTATCTACTCATAGTGTAACATATCGATATACA